CCCCTCAGGGAGGACTGGGTGTCAGTCAGAGGGTGCTGAGCAAATCTCTGCTTTTCTCTGGGGGTTTTCCTCCCCTGTCTCTCTTTGCCATGACAGTTCTCATTGTGGGAGGGGGTTTGCTGCCTTGCAGGAGGACCATCAGTGGCAGCATCAGTGGCAGTGCCAGCAGCTACAGCGGCTCCAGCTCCCGCTCGAGGTCCTTGTCCCGCTCTCTCTCCAGATCTCATTCCAGATCATCCTCTGCCTCAGTGTCCCACTCTCCCTCTGGCTCAAGGAAATCCAGGTACAGCCCTGAGCCTTTGTGCCCTTTACTTAACAGCAGAGATTGTGGCTGTTGCTCACAGGTTTGGTTTCTTGCAGTGGAAGCTCTCTGTAGCTCCAGCAGCACCAGCTGCAGGTGCCTGAGGGTGGGACAAGGTTGGGGATGGGATTCCAAGTCCTGAATTGTGGTGGGAATACAGTGTTGGAGAGGGCATGGAGTGAAAGAACAAGATACAATGGCCTTAAACTGATAGAGGGGGTATTTCAATGGAATGTTTGGGAGAAATGCTTCTCTGTGAGGGTGGGCAGGCCCTGGCTCAGGTTGCCCAGAGAAGCTGTGGCTGCCCCATCCCTGAAAGTGTCCAAGGCCAATTTGGACAGGATGTGGAATAACCTGCTCTTTTGGGGTTGGAACTGGGTGATCTTTAAGGTTCCTTGCAGCCCAAACCATTCCATGATTCCCTGATATTTCCCTTGTGGTTTATTCAAGGAAATAATCCTGTCATGTGTGTCCAAGTACCCATTTAAGCTAAATGGTGACCAGAACAACTCCTGGCCAGGGTGATCCCACATGCTAATTAAACTCCAAATGAACAGTTCCAGGCTATGGAGCTTGGCTCTGCTGAGCCTCTCCTACCTCTGGTTCCTGTCCTTAGGGGAGATGCTTGGCCTGTCAAGAGAGGCAGGTCAGAAAATCCCCAAAAGGCCCAGCTAATGATATTTTCCCTTTGCTGGCAAAGTTGCAGGTCCGGTTCCTTTTGTGCTTAGCCCCAAGTGAACAGTTCCAAGTCCCTTGGTCTGTGGGATGTGTAAACAACAAACTCCTTCCAGCAAAGAAAAACAAACCACTCTCCAGTCATTCCTGCAGGTTTTTTCATCTCCTCACACAGAGGATTCCCTGAATCCTCACAGGCAGAGCCTTGAAACCCAACACTTCCCTGGCACAGGGGTGCAAGAACAGTCCTGTGGTGTAAAACCAGTGGCTGGAGCAGGATTTGACTCTGAGCATGGCAAATTCCCATCAGTGAACTCTGTGGGACTCCGAGGTTCAACGTCCGCGTTATTTTACGGAAATCCCGGCTTGTTTACTCCGTGCTTGTCACGTTCATCAGCCCAGCCTGGGGTGATGCAAGAGCTTCAGAGAGCACCAGGGCAGGGATGGGAAATGGGAGCACACTGGGGCTGCCTGTGCTGCTCTGTGGGAAGGGGAAACGTGGCAGATGCACTGTGTGCCCACAGCAGGCCGGCCTGGTGGCCTGGGGGGTTCCTGGCTCATCCTGGAATCCATGAGAGCTCTCAGGCAGAGGGTTGGTCTGTGCTGAAGCTGCCACAGCCCCTTCAGTCATCCCAATGCAGTTTCCAGGCAGGGAGGCTGAGCCTTGCTGGCAGAGCAGGGCGGTGTGGCCCGTGGAACAGGCTGGAGAGGCTGCCTGAATATTCATGGAGTGGGATGGTTTGGCTTGGAGAGGAGATTAAAGCTCATCCAGTCCAACTCTCTGCCACCTTCCACTAGACTAGATTGTTCCAACCCTGTCCAGCCTGGCTTGTACACTTCCTGGGATAGGCCCTGCTGGGAAGTTTCCATCTTGGAGGTATCAGTCGTGACAGTGGATGCGTGCCAGCAGCAGAAACCCTGCCAGGGAACCCTTGCCCTGAGCTGTAACACTGACCTGGATGTGCCAGTGCACTCCCTGCTTTCACTCCCTGTTTTCCTGGGCAAACTGTGACCTGTTTACCCATTGCCTTAATCCTGGCTATAAATAATCATTACTTTCTAGGCCTGCACCCCACAGCTTTGACATTTTCCACACCAGCAGCACCCCAGCACACACGGCCTTTGTGCATCCTTCCCTGCCGAGCTTCCCAGCATCCAGGGAGATGCAGCAAGGCCTTGCTGCCTTGCTGGGTGTGCTGAGCTGTGGCTCTTGGCAGGTCCCTGAGCGTGAGCAGCGTCTCCTCCGTGTCCAGTGCCTCGTCCAGCAGCAGCTCCGTGCGCAGCGCCGACTCCGAGGACATGTACGCAGACCTGGCCAGCCCCGTGTCCTCGGCCAGCTCCCGCTCCCCCACCCCGGCCCAGCAGAAGAAAGGTACAGGGAGCTGCTGTGCTGGGGGTGGAGCCCTCTGGGGGGGCTTTGGAGAGGGAGGGAGGAGCAGGGATCCTTCCCTGGGAATTCTGTGGGCCCTGGGAAAATCCCTGAGCAGAGGGGATACAGGAGCAAATGTGCACGCACGTCCTTCCATCCCTGTGCCGCTGGTTGTCTCATCCCTTTTCCTGCCTGGCAGTTCTGCCTCTCCCATTCTCCTTCACCCTTGGAAGGTGATGCAAATCAGCTCCAGGTTCACTTTGCTCTTCCTCTGCTCATTCCAGACCATGGCAGAGTCTGTGGCAAAAGCTTTTTGTTCTTTGTCTTTTCTGTGGCTCTCTCTGGAGATTCAGGGTTTCCTGAATCCCTTAACCTCGTATCCACCAGCTGAGTTAACTGCTGTGGGCTTTTTCCATCCCTGGAGCAGCATCCTCTTGCCCAAAAGGAGAGAAGGCAACAGGAATCATTCCCAAGTCACCCCTTGTGCTCATGCTCTCAACAGGAAAGTCAAAAAAAGAAGACAGTGCTAAAGAGGAGAAGAGGAAACGAGATGTGCCCGCTCAGCTCCTGAAATCAGCCAAGCCCACCCCGGGCAGCAAATCCCAGCAGCTGCCCCAGGGCCAGCAGCCCTCGGCCCCCCAGGCACAGCAGGGCAGCTTCAGTGGGCACAAGGAGATCAAGCTGACCCTCCTGAACAAGGTGGGAACGGATCCCTGGGGCTGGGATTCCCTGCTGGCTCTTTACTGTTTAAACCAGTTTGCAACCCAAGGCTTCCTCCTGTCTCCAACATCTTTTCTCCCACTTGCTCCTGGAGCCGTGTGGTAGATGTGGCACTTCTGGGGGCCAGAGGGGATGGATCCTGCAGGAGGGAGGGGATGGATCCCAGCAGGAAGGAAGGGATGGATCCTGCAGGAGGGAGGGGATGGATCCCAGCAGGAAGGAGGGGATGGATCCCAACAGGAAGGAGGGGATGGATCCTGCAGAAAGGAGGGGATGGATCCCAGCTGGAAGGAGGGGATGGATCCTGCAGAAAGGAGGGGATGGATCCCAGCTGGAAGGAGGGGATGGATCCCAGCAGGAGGGAGGGGATGGATCCCAGCAGGAAGGAGGGGATGGATCCCAACAGGAAGGAGAGGATGGATCCCAACAGGAAGGAGGGGATGGATCCTGCAGGAGGGAGGGGATGGATCCTTCAGGAAGGAAGGGATGGATCCCAGCAGGAAGCAGGGGATGGATCCCAGCAGGAAGGGAGGGATGGATCCCAGCAGTAGGAACAGGATGATCCCAACAGGAAGGAAGGGATAGATCCCAACTCCAGGCTCAGGGATGGATCCCAGCAGGAGGAATGGGATGGATCCCAACTCCAGGCTCAGCACTGCTGGGATGAGCTCAGGCAGGAAGGTCTGGGGCTGGCTTGGAGGGCAGCACACAGAACCAGTCTGGCAGCACACACCCTGTGCTGGCTGCACTGTGGGGCTGTGTTGGCGGCTGCCCTGGGGCACATTCCTGCTGCAGCTTCCAGGCTCTTCCCCGCTTGCTCGAAGGTCCTGCTGGGGCCTTTCCCCTGGGAGATGCTCTGGGAGCTCTTCCTGTGCCACCCCAGAGCGGGCTGGGCACAGAGGGCAGGGGCACAAGGGGCAGCTGGGGTGCCCCCTGGCTGCTCCCCTCCCCTCTGATCCCTCTGCCCTGTCAGAGCCTGGGCACAGGTGCCAGCCCCAGCCCGTGTGGGGGAGTTGTTCCCCGTGGGGTTTGCTGCTGGGGCAGGGTGTTGGCCCCATCACGTGGGCAGGTTCCTGTTTTTGATATTTTGCTCTGCCAGCCCAAATTCCCCGGCGCGGTCTGAGGCTGCAGATTTCTCTACTTCCCTGTGCTCTGACGTGAGGAGGCTTTATCAGAGGCAGGAACTGCTCTGGAGGGAGGGAGGAGTGTGCAGTGACACATGACAGCCTGGAAAAGGCACGGCTCCACATGCCTCCTTCACATCTGCTATCCTTGGTGCTGCTGGGGAAAAACCATCCCAAAAAGCTGCTCTTTTCCTGTTCCTGTTCTGAAATTGGTACAGCATTACCCCCAGTGCAGGGGGTGTTGCTGTTGGCTGCTGGTGGTTGGGAATCAGGTGGATTCAGGGCTGGCTGGGACTGGTGTGTGCAGAGTTTATTGGGAAAGGTGTCTGCAGGAGGCAGGGAATGGCTGTGCCTGTGTCCCTGTGCAGAGGGAAGTGGCTGCTCAGCTCCATTGTTTCAATCCCATTGCAGGCAGCTGACAAAGGAAGCAGGAAGAGATACGAGCCAGCAGACAAAGAGAGGCCAAGCTCTCCTCCAGCCAAACGGGCCAACCTGTCCCCTGACAGAGGTGAGGATCTTCAGCAGCTGGGGAGATCACTGCAGCCATCCCAAAACCTCAGAGTGGGATTGCCACAGATGAAGGGGGATTGTGACCATCCTGCTGCAAAAACACAGCAGAGCTGAGGCCCTGGGCAGGGCAGTGCCACCCTTGTCACACTGTCCCAGGGGCACATTGTGCCCAGTGTGACTCCGCTGTAAATCCTGTCCAACAAAGCAGCCCCTTGCCTTTGGAGACACAGAGTTCTCACCTCCACATCCACCCCATGGTCTGCTGCCCTTGGATGTGGCTGTGGAAATCAAGTTTAGGTTGGAAATTAGGAAATATTTTTTCCCAGAAAGAAACAGACTGTCAGGGGGGAGTCCCCATCCCTGGAGGTGTTCTATAAATGTGTGGATGTGGCACTGGGGACAGGGTTAGTGTGGCCATGGTGGTGCTGGGCTGAAGGTTGCCTTGGATGCTCCTGAAGATCACTTCCATACCTGAGCCACTCCAGCACTGTGAGTCACAGGAGTTTCCTTTGGTGCATCCTGGAGTTTTCCAGGGGGAGCTGTCCCTGCCAGCCAGGCTGGTGCTTCGAAAGGCTGGGAGGGAGGGAAGGAGGGAGGGATGGATGCAATCATTCCCTGCCTGCATCAGCCAGCCTGGGACAGGAGCTGATTGCCCCACCTCTGGGTGACACAACCCGCTCTGCCCTGCATGTTTAGAAAGACCTGGGCTTTCCAAGTGCTCTGCTGGGGCTCAGTCCTCCCCAGCAGCAGGAAGAGCTCGGGAAAGCGAGCTGGCAGGCACAGCCAGGGACTCGGTGCCACCCTGCAGCCCTGGCTGTGGCTGCCAGGAGGCACAGGGGGTGTGGGGGGAGTTGGCAGCCAGAGGTGGCTGCGGTGACGTTGGAGCTGCCACGTGATGTTGTTTTCCCTGGTGGCTCAGCTGTAGGTGGATCTTGTTGACTCTGGGTGCCAGCCAGAGAAGGTCTGTGCTAATAACCTGCAACATTCACCTCCTGCAAGGGCAGCCTGCAAGGGACTGCCCCAGGTTGAAGTTCACTGGGGTCTGGTTCACACATGAGTGGCAGGGCCAGGCCAGGATGTTTTTGGAGAGGCTTTGGTGCCATCCTCTGCTTTTTGGTAAAAAGCAATTTTCGAGCTGCAGCACAGAGTAATTTGGGCTGGAAGGGATCAAAGACCAGGGACAATTTCCATTACCCCAGGTATCCAAGCCCTATCCAACCTGGCTTTGAACACTTCCAGGGATGGGGAGTCCCAGCCATGGAGCCTCAAATCCAATTTTTATTGTTTAAGCCAGTTTTCAACCCAAGGCAAAATCCAATGGCAAAGGTGCCCTTGGCTGAGCTGAGACTGAGCCCTCGGCATCCCAGCACCAGACTGCTCAGTGGTGGAGGCTGAGTGTGCCCCCTGCCCCTGTGGGCTGGGGCTGCCCCAGTGCCCACCCCCAGGAGCAGAGGGATGCCCTGGCACACGCAGGGGCTGCTGCCACCTTTGGGGACTGGGCACCTTTGCTGCTCCAGCTGAGGTCAGAGCAGGGCAGCAGCTCCACAGGCTGCCTTGCTTGTGTAGTTCCCTCTCTGTTCCTGGGGTACCCCAGCTGCTCCCCAGCCTCTCTGCGTGCCCAGGGCAGCTGTGCTGGGGCAGGGCCTGGCAGCTGAGCCGTGCTGCACAAACACACAAACACGGGGGTGCTGCTGCCCCGGGGGAGGCCCCGCTGGCTCCCAAAGCTGCAGAGCTGCCCTCGCCTGTCACTGCTGGAGCCACTGCACCCTGTGACCCGCCAGGGCACAGCCAGCAGCTCTGCAGGCACAGAGTGCCATGGGGGAGCCTCGCTCCAGCAGCTGGAAGGTGAGGAAGGGCTGGTGGCAGGTGCTGTGTGCAGGTGATACCAGGGCACAGCCCTGCCTGGCTTCTCTGCTTCCCCAGAGGTGAGGGGAGCACACAGCGGGGCTTTTCCAGCTGCTGCTGGATTTGGCATTGGTTTTGGCATTGTTTTTGGAATGATGTGGTCAGTGAGTGCAGGCAGGGGTGGCCTGTGCCTTGGTGCCCAGCAGGAAAATGAAGCAATGTCCTTGTGCTCTCCCCAGGCTCTCGCGATAGGAAGGCGGCCGGGAGACCCTCGTCCCCCAAACAGGAGCGGCAGCGGGGCCAGAACCCAAAACCTTCCCCTGCACAGGCAGACAGGTGAGTGCTGCTGCTTCTGCTGGGCCTCACAGCCCTCCAGGGCCTGCAGCCCCTGTCCCAGGCTGTCCCAGGCTGTCCTGGGCTGTCCCAGGCCGTCCCAGGCCAGCAGCTGCAGTTTCCATGGAACGCAGCACCAGGGAGGACACGGAGCTGCCTGGGCTGGTGCCAGCAGTGCCAGGGCTTGTGCAGAGCTCCAGCTGGGCCATTCCAGCTGGGAGAAGAGCAGGAGCACCCAGAGCCACGTGGGTCAGGAGTGAGCTCAGCCAGTGCCTGTGCAGCTCTTTAGCACAGTGTTAAAGAGCACCAGAGTGCAGCCCCTTCCCCCTGGCCAGCTCCTCCTGGCACCTGGTTCCAGTGCCTCATCCCCCTTTTCCCAGCCTGGCACACCCTCAGCTGCCCCCCTTGCTGCTGTGGCTGTGACAGAGCAGGGACAGCCCTGCCTTTGCACCTTCCATGCAGCTCAGCCAAATTCCTGGCAGGCTGTGCCTGCTGCAGTGCTGGAATGTCCCAGTGCAGTGTTGGATGTATGGATCTGGGGGTCAAGGATTGGGGATCCTCTCCAGGGATCTCTGGGGGCAACATCACAGGGAAGGGGCTGAAGGATTTGGGGTTGAGGGGGTGCTCCAGGGCTGCTCTCCCCTCTGGGTCTCACAGGGAGCTGCTCACTGCAGCCACAAGCTGGTATTGAGTTTAATGCTGGGAATTTGAGAATCCCCATGTAATATCTGTTTTTTTACTGTTAAGCCGGTTTTCAACCCAAGGCCTCCTCCTGTCTCCAACCTCTTTTTTCCCACCTGCTCCTGGAGCCATGTGTTAGATGTGGCAGTTCTGCTATTCTAGTTCAGCTCAGAAATTAGGGAGAAATCCTTCCCTGGTGAGGATGAGGAGACCCTGGCACAGGATGCCCAGAGAATCTGTGGCTGCCCCATCCCTGGCAGTGCCCAAGGCCAGGCTGGAGCCGCCTGGGATAGTGAAAAGTGTCCCTGCCTATGGAAAGAGATTAAATTTGTGTGGGAAAGAACCTTAGAAACCAGTGTGGTCAGTGGGGCTCAGTGCACTTTTCATCTCGTAAAGAGATGAAATTGGTGTGGGAAAGGACGTTCAAAACCGTGATTTTAGTGTGGCCAGCAGGGCTCAGTGCACTTTTCATCTCAGAAAGAGATGAAATTGGTGTGGGAAAGGATGTTCAAAACCGCGATTTTAGTGTGGCCAGCAGGGCTCAGTGCACAATCCCCTCTTGGATTCCCTCATTTGGGCCATTCCCATCTCTGTCTCCCTGCAGGAAACGCCAGCTGTCCCCTCAGTCCAAGAGCTCCAGCAAAGTCACCAGCGTGCCGGGCAAGGGCGCGGAGCCGGGCCCTGGCGCTGCCAAGGGCGGCAAATCCAGCACCCTGTCCCGCAGGGAGGAGCTCCTGAAGCAGCTCAAGGCCGTGGAGGACGCCATCGCCCGCAAACGCGCCAAGATCCCGGGCAAAGTATAGTGGGCTGTGCCCCCCAGTGACTGCTGAGGTTTTTATAAAGAGAGGCAGAAGCGGCCGCTTTGGGATTTTGCAGTTCCTCGTCTTCGTTTTGGCCGCGCGGTTCTTTTTAAAAAAATAAAACAAAAAAACAAACGTAAAACCCACACACACACACACACATACACACACACACATCCACACACAACAAAGAAATTAAGGAAGTTTTTGCCCGATGAGCGGCTCCGGGAGGGCTCCGGGGCCCTGTAAATGTGCACAGAGGACTCCAGCCCTGGGTGCTCCCAGCTCTCCTGTGTCCCCTCTCCTCTTTGCTAGCCTCCAGTTGTATTCTCCTAGTTAGCCCTGCTGTGTGTTGAGTGTCTTCAGCAATGCAGTTCTAGTCCCGTGTGCCGAGAGAGCCGAAAACTGCTGTGAACTGCTGGCAGCACCCTCCTCCCCCAGGAACAATATAAATATATCTATTCCTGCCTCAGCCCTCGGGAGTGCCCTGTCGTTTCTTTGGAGCCGGGGATCGCTTCAGTTGATTTCCCAGGAGCCCTGCAGGTGTTGTGGGTGTCCATCTGCCAGGAGGGTCCTTCTTCCTTTGGTTTTTCCTTTTTTTTTTTTT